TGCATCCCTAGTCAAATTCTTAAAAAAGTATATTTTATAAGCTATTAATTTTTAGAATTAGAATAGTAGAATAAGAAATATAAGTTACCAATCAAATGAAATCAGTATTAACAAAATTAATTAGTAGAGGTGGCACAGAAGAACACAAAAGTGGCTTGGTGTACTTTCAGACATTTAATGAGGCTCAGAAGTGGAATGAGTGCAATTAAATTCATAAATTCATGATGATATTAATGTTTTAAATATAAAATTTTGAATATAAAAATATTAAATGATTTAAATAACTGAAAAGATACTTTAAAAATTAAACAAACTGCCAGCAGGTGGCGGCAAGTCTTATTTTTATCACTGAATCATTCATTCAATTGATTAGTTCGAACAGCTGATTCATTCAGGAATTAATCAAGTGACTGTCTTTATGAATAGATAATCATTAATCATTGACTCACTAGATTCGTTTAAAAATGCCCGTTCATTCATAAACGAAACACCGCTGTGTTTGATTTGAGATGCGCAGCAGCTCAGCTGTGTCTTTGTTTTAAACTATTTTCGACGACGAAATAGAGCAAAATCAGACAATAGTGTTATAGTCAGACAATGTAAGTCTATTAACTTCTTGTTTATTGAATTGTATTGTATTAAATCAGTATCACATTTACAAACTCCCTTAAAAATCATTAAAAGCTGTCACTCATCTTGGGTCATCTCGATCTCAACATTTATAATCCACAAAGCTCTCTACACTGCGCAAATAATCTCTTATTTACACCCTGTCTACACTTTGCTTATGAAAGGATTTGTGAGATATGTCTGTGATACATTACTCAATGCTGCAAAAACACGTAGAAACATTTGAAGCTCCCCTCAGCGCAATCACAAATATGATGATGATCTGGTCAGTCGTTTTCGCACGCAGTAGTTTTCAGTCGCAAATGCAACTGAAATAGTCGCACTGTAGAGCCCTGCATCTGAACTTTTCTAAAGACAGCAAGTTCCCCACAAACATGGATTTATAAACTACCCCTAAATGAATCGCGATTTGTTTAGCATCTCAACATATTTGAATCGATTTTCAACCGGCACGCGGTTAATCGTTACATCCCTAAGACTAACTAATATAGATTTCAAACATTATTAAATACAAGTAACAGTCTGTAATAGAATAAGAACACTAACACATTAGCAATAGCACAAATAAATAAAACTAAAGGTTCAGGAACAGAAATCAAATGTAATCAAGTGTAAATTATATAATAAATATAAATTAATCCTTAGTAAAAAGTTTCAAAAGTTATTCAGCCAAAATCAGCGAGTGAATTTCTTCTTCTTTTGTTCTTTGATTAACATTAATGTCACAGACTGCATCAGGAATATTAGGCTGCTGTCACTTTAAGACCTAATGCATAAATTCAACATACTGTTTACACATGCATTTTCTTTCGCAACTATTTACATTAATTTAAGACAAAACAGACTATTTTTACAAGGATATTTTGACAATTCTCTGTGTATTTGTCCACTTAAGTGCAAGAAGATGCAAAAGAGAACTCAACTCAGTATTCACAAACTATATGAGAAAGCGGCTTTTTGAAAGTGTGCAAGTGCTGTATTGAGTTCTCTTTTATGTCTTCTTTGCCTCAGTGGTTTAAAATCACATTAATACGTGCAGACGTGAATCGATAAGCTGAACTGAAATGTGCATGTATTGTATCGTATCCACGGTTTTAGAAAATTGGAACCGTTCGCGACACCCAACCATAGTATTCATAAACATTCATAAAACACCAGGAAAAATGTCAGACTGAAATCTAGGCCAGGTTTCTGATCACCCAATACCTGTCATTGATGGATGTAAATGAGTTGCAAAAGTTCAGAACGAGTCATCTTGGCTTCAAATAATGCTCTTTGTGGACTTTTAAGTGTAGGGCTTCAAGAGTTACAGTACATTTTCTCTTGTATCTTATCAGGCTTTTGAATTGAATCAATAGAGAGACATCTCACGTACAAACTGCACAACTTGACAACCTTAGAACCTCAAAACAAGTCTGCCAGACTGCACATTCACAAAACATATGATGAAACAAGTTGCACCTTCTAATCTACTCTATAATACTGAACAGAAGATCTAGAGAACAGAAAAGAGCAAAGACCTTTAACAGAGTGATGATCTGCAGAAAAAGACTAAAGTGAGTGCGCTCAACTTCCTGCGGGGGAGATTTTTTTTATGAAACATCACCTTCAAGCACGGGTGCCTAACCACAACACATGCTTTATGCCTAACATGACCATTTTGCAATGTGAAAACTATTACGTGGTCAAGATGCAAAGGCAGATTTGAGCTGACAGAGGTTTATAAGAGTTCCTTTTAAAGAAACCTGTATATGGGCGTTTCTTTAACTACAGGCACTTTTGCGTCACAGGGGTCGATTTTGTATTAAAATATTTCTAAAACCAGACTTAAACTTTAGTAATTTTAAAGAATGAAGTTCACATACATTTTTTTTACCATGCCATCATGAGTTTTTGCTACTTTCCAGACCCAGATTTTGAATCTTAAACATATATATATATATATATATACATATACACATATATATATATAAACCACATTTAAGCAAGACACTGCAGGCATAGCTATAGAGTTTTTTTTTTTTCCCATGCACTGGTCAATTTTGAGATTTTGGGGTATTTTGCTTGCTTCTTTCAGACTAGTGGAAAGAAAACATCCACAACACATGTAAGTGTTTACATAATTTATTACACTTTTTCATCTGTAGATTTCAATGAATTTTACTTATAGGCACTTACATACATCAAACCTTTCAGTTTTATTCCTATCTATATTTTTGAGGTTTTTACAGGTGTGTGTATAATATATATATATATATATATATATATATATATATATATATATATATATATTTAAATGAGGGGGAAAAAACGTCACTGGTATCGGATCGGTATCGGCCAATACCGAACCCTAGGTATCGGAATCGGTATCGGAGGCGAAAAAGGTGGATCGGAACATCCCTACTGGAAAGTACTGCGCATGCGCAGTGACGTAGAAATAGCGTAATGACGTATGACGCGTGGAACGAGCTGTCCTTCCCGGTGAATAAAGAGTCATAAATGAGTGTCCCGTCATTATCAAACTCCCCTTTCACTCAGCATCTGTGAAGTGGAGCAGCACAACGTCCCACCAGTCCTTGTTTGACTCATCAACAGACGACTGGTTTTGGGTGCAGGAAGGGGCACTGTTAGTGCTTTATAAAGCAAGCAGCACTTCACAACTGTTCATGTGCTGGTCATCGCCTAATTAGGACTAGTGGTCAACCAATATATCGCCAAGGCAAATCAGGTTCTGTAAATCTCCATCACGTGTGTGCATTCACATGGAGCAGCATTTAATACACAGAGCCGTAGTTCACTGACAAGCTACAAAAAAATCAAGCAATGAATCGCCTGCTATTTTGAACGTGATTTTGCGTAGCTTGTCAGTGAACTACGGCTCTGTGTAGTAAATGCCGCTCCATCTGAACGCACGTGCTGGAGATTCACTACTAATCATCAGAAGCGGCTTTACTAAAATGATTCGCATGAAAATCGCATTCGATTTTTTGCACAGCCCTATTATTGTGTGTATAATTATATTATTATTATTATATTATATTTTTGAAAAGTGCCTAAAAGCCCCTCCACCCCTCAAATTAAACCCCACTATAAGTATATTGCATCACTATAAGTAATTCTACATGATAAAAAGAAGGCTTCAAAAACATCGGTATTGGTGATCATATCGGTGATCAGCTCCAAAATTCTTGTCCGGAGCACCCTTATTTTTTTACTTTCAGCCAAGCTAAGATTATGCAAATAGGTAAAAACATAATTTAATAGCTTATATTTAAGATAAATAAAATGCTAGCTACGAAACTAGTCAAAAATAATAATTGTATATATTGTAATGTATTTTATGTAATTGTATTACAAAACAAAATGTTTAAAATGCTAGTCCCAACAAAGAATGCCATTAAACTCAATCCATAATGTGACAAAATAAACCATGTTCATGACTTTCAGAAATAAAACAAAAATGAATTTACTTTTGTGATGCTTATTTCTCCAAGGTTTTACAAATGAAATGTTTAGTTTAGGGTTAGGGTTATTTTCCAGATTAGGGGAAAGGGTTATTTGTTTATTTTCCAGAATTGCCCATAGCCGACCAAACACCCATATTTGAATTATGCATGCATAGAGGTGAAATGAGAGCAGCTGACATTTCCTTCAGGTTACAGACTCATGTACTCGGTTAATTTATCAACAATCAGAGTAGACATTGCCAGTGTGCCAAACTGGCTGTACAGTTACATACAAAATATGAATTATACATGACAGCATGCATCGAATCTAATCTAAAACCCCAACATACGGCTTTACAGGCTCCAATACACAAGGCCGAGTGTTTTAAAGCAAGAAGCACATCCGCACAGTAAAAAAAACAACTACTGTAAACAGAGAAATACTTACTTGCTTGCTTGTTTGTTTGTTTGGGGTTGCAGAGCTTGCGCGCACTGCTAGTCAACTCGAGTGATAACCAACGCACTTCAAACTTCAAATATCCGAGCGAAACAGTCATTTAATCCATGCTGCTGTTTTTACTCCAAATATGTTGTCGCTCGGTGTCACTTAGGCGAGGGTCGAGCGTGTGTCCATCCCGTTAGGTGTCGTAACAGTTGACTTGTTTGAGCACAGCTCGCTAAGATGTTTGGAGTCGAGTTTAGACGGCTAGCTGCGCGTTAGCATGTGCTGCTACTGCTGTTCCTCTTATTTACAAAACATGACCACAGGAGCTTCGCACTTATGCATGCTGTCTCAACTCCAATACGAGCACAAAGACGACGGTGTATGTTCTTAAAGAAAGCCACCTGGTGATGGATATGCTAAGGACGCGCCATGCCTTAAGATCACCAGTGGCGTGACAGACAGCGAGCATGCTAACTTACCCGACCTGACAGTTCAGACTACCAGCAGGTCGTGCTTTAACAAACCTCATCTGTGTCTGTCTTTAAAGGACCGTTGCGTTGTCTGTCCTTTTGAAAGGAGTCCAATGAACACGAGTTTTGAGTTCCAGCACGCAGTCTATATGTTTCTCTGCTGTCTCGTGAGCAGACATATGCAGGTGGCGCGCTGTGGTTACTGCAGTTGACGCTACTCGGAGTCTTAGCGGGATGTGGCTCAATACATAGTGTGCTGCCTACATAGACAGCATGTCTGGACGGCATAGGTTTAGCTGACTAGCTTATAATTCTACCGAATCTGCCTATGGCGCCCTGAAACGCTTAAAGGTTTTGAAACACAACCCGTTTGTAACGGTAGAGTGATTCACTGACCCTTTGCTGTATCACCTTCATCAGATTGCAATCAATTATTAACTCTAGACCCTCCCAGCACAGATCCTTTAGATTAATCGTGCATTTTATATTTGGTCATTTTGAAATGCATGGTCTTGGCAGCGTGACAAGGAAATGAAAGTAAGGCTGTCCTTGATACCCATGCTCTCTGTTTGACCTCTCGGTTTGGTTTTAGGTGAAAGCAAAGTATGTTTGCTATACACACGCTCCACTGCATATTCAAACTAATAATGTGCTTGTAGAGTTTTGTGATTTTTTTCTCCCTATTTCAATTCATCAAAATGTCAGTCCATCTACCCAAACACCAAACAATGTGATGAATACACCAACAGCAGATTCTGACCTGGATTCTTGAGCTCAGAAAGAATGGGAACTTGCACAATTTATAAAAACTAAAAATAAACTTATTTCCTTTTAGGAAAAATCTAATATTTAGCCTATAATAATGGTTAATGGTTCTTTTACCAAGTTGTCAAGAGCCTATGTTCTAAGAGTTTGCTAACGTTCCAATAAAGTAATGAAAACATTATTTTTTGAATGTTATCGGAATGTTCAAACATTCATTTTTAACACTTTGTACATTTTATTTATTGATTTATTTATTGGTTATGTGAAGTATAAAATCTGTGGAGGATCTGTCCATGTTGAACGATTCTGTCAAAAAAAGAAAGAAAAAGAATCACTTGTAAACACCATGGGAATGTTACCTTTGAATATTCTCTGAACATTCTAAAACTAGTAAAACATAATAAAACATGAATGTCCAGATAAAACGTTTCAGTTCCACAAACAATGTGTAAATAACGTTTCTGTGAGAGACCATACATTTTTTATAACATACATTCTATTAACATTCATAACTTTGAGAGAACCCTGCCAAAACCTTAGCATTTACATTTTACGATTGATTATTATTGTTTATATATTTAAACACTTGGATACTTAAGCTGCGTTTGGAATGTCATTGCATCAAATAACAACCAGATATATATTTTAAGATGTCAACAAAACATGGAAACAAAAAGATGATCAGTTCAGTGTTTAGTGTTTGTCAAAAAGAATAATTTGTTTGCAGATATAACTGGTTTGATTTTCTTATAAGGCAATTAAATTTTAAAAAGTTTACAAGTTTACATAGTTTACAGGATTTGTTTATATATATATATATATATATATATATATATATATATATATATATATATATATATATATATATATATATATATATATATATATATATA